CATTGGACATAAAAACAGTCACATGTACACACATCGCGAAGGTAAGATAATGACTGTTATATGTGCGTAAAAACTGGGCAGATCTAGGCCGAATGATCTTCGATTAACTTTCTTTCCGGTTAATTATTAGGAGATTTATGAACGTATGCTATCAATCCTCTATCCGTCTTTGTAGTTTTTATTTCTAATCTATACTAATATATAAATCTACAGTGGTTTTTACGCGTTATAACTACTGAACCATGCATCCGATTAACTTGAAACTTGGTATCCATGTAGAAAATACATGTACTTAATGGATAGGCTAATATTTATATGAATGTTGGACTCCCTACACCGTTTGCGAAGGCGTTAATGATGAGAATCTTTGGGGGAATGAGAAATAAGAATATTAATTTTAAATGGCCAGCAAAGCGGACGCGTACAGCTAGTCCCAGATAAGAATATGGGCAGATGAGATTGATAGTTAATATGAAATAGATAAGTGATATACATGACCGCTCAAATTACACCACACGACCAAGAATACTGAAAATCTCTATAAAAGTTCTGAATTTGAATAAATACCTAACTAGCTTTTTACTTTTAGGAATAATAGGTTTAAGAAAACTATTAAAGAACATCTGTGCAATAAAGCTTACTATAAAGTCAATGATTATCTAGAAGATTGCACAAAGTGGGAATGAGTTGCTCGCTCCGGGAATTTCAATGTTGTAAAATTGTTATGTTATAATTACTTATTGTAATATGAATATTTAAAAAAAAAAATATGTAAAATAAAAATAAAAATATAATATTTAAAAAAAAAAAAAAACATGCCCGCTGAGTTTCTTGCCAATTCTTCTCAGGACGGAGGCTAATTCTTGTGAATTGGCGGTAGTTCTTTTGACGTTCAACAAGTATGTACTTTCATTTATGTTGAATAAAACTTTTTTGATTTGATTTGATTTGATTTGAACGAGAATAATAAATTTGCCTTTGTATGAATATACTTTAATAGAATTACCGACGTATAATTATGCAAATCCGGGAATTTCAGCCACTTAAGACTGTTACCCAATATTGCGGGGAAATAAAAGTAGCAACCGACACATCATTAAAGTATAGCACGTATGTATATACTAAATTGCAAGGGTTCTCCTTTGAGAGTAGAAAACCATGATTTCCATACAGTTATGTATTTGACAGACTTAAGCCCACTCCTCAAGATTCTGGAACGGATTTTTCGCTGGTAAGGACAATCGACAATGAGACTGTTTACTTAAATCCCACGTTTCAAATTTGCATCTATCTACCGTTTCGCTTGAAGAGCTGATGTCTCTAAGTAACTTCGTTGACTGCTCAGTTTAAAAAGGTCCAATTAAATTCTCACTCTAGAGATTAACTACCTTTCGAATTGATTGAAAAAATCCCAATCGATTATTACAGTCTATTTATTTTGCCTAATTCAACAACAAACTTTCCATGAGCTTTCACGAGCTTGTATTTTATAACAACTCTGTTATTTGAATCAAATTGCGTGGGCGTGTCTCAGCAGTAAGTTCCCGTGGAACCACTATCGAAGGAGCTGTTAAAGTTTAATCCAAGTTTGATAAGACGTGTGCACTATTAAGGTCACGAGAATTTGATCTTTGAAATTTCAAATTACAGGGAATATCTTATTGTGAATATAAATTTGTTGGTTTCAAAGTTAAAATTTTCGAGGTCTATTAAAACAAATTCCTTGGTTCATATTTACATAAATAGCCAGATATTCATCGTTCAGAGTCAAGAAAGCTTGTGGTCGCAACTTTCATCGTAGTATAGGAGAAACGGTCAAAACACGTGTCTGAAGTGGAGAGCTCTAGAGCGAGTCTCCGATTGGGGTGAATTGAATTCAGCTTAAGCTTATTGATTGTGACATAATTTTCAACGTAAATTGTAAATTTAATCACAGCACCATGTGAAATTAATCATATCTGAGATTTCAAAACATTACTTAAGATTTTTTGTTTTGATTTGCATGGGTAATGCAAATCAATATGAACAGACAAGACAGACAATTTTGAAGTCGTCGTGGCCTAAAGGATAAGGCGTCCAGTGTATTCGTATCTAGCGATGCAACGGCGTTCGAATTCCGCATGCGGGTACCAATTTTTCTAATGAAATACGTACTTAACAAATATGTAATAAAAATCAAACCCGCAAAATTATAATTTGCGTAATTACTGGTGGTAGGACCTCTTGTGAGTCCGTGCGGGTAGGTACCACCACCCTGACTATTTCTACCGTGAAGCTGTAATGCGTTTCGGTTTGAAGGGTGGGGCAGCCGTTGTAACTATAGACCTTAGAAGTTATATCTCAAGGTGGGTGGCGCATTTACGTTGTGGGTGGCGCATGTACGTTGTAGATGTCTATGGGCTGTAGTAACCACTTAACACCAGGTGAGCTCGTCCAACCAATTAAACAACAAAAATAAAATTGGCGTGGGCCGTTAATACCTACTATGTAATTCCATTCAGTTATTATGAGATTCGAGATCATCGTTTAACCTTTCAAAGAGCTGAACTAGCTTTGAAGGGAAATCTGAGGCAAATTACAGACGTACGCGGATAAAAGCTAATAGCAACGGGCATTAAATCTATTATGTTTATAGAGAGACTGCTTTGAAATAATTTAATATCTAAAGGGTACTTAGCACGTGGAACGCCATGCGGTCCAACGTTGGGCCTAGCCATTCGGGCTAAGCCAAAATCAGAGAGGGAATCAGTAATTTTTATAATCTTGAGATTTTCATTCTAAAATGTATAAAATGCGACAATTTGCACCGGAGGAAAAAATTAACGACTTTTACCGTATAGTTAAGTATATTTTAAGATATTGTTACGCGTTGGGGTTCGGGATAAATAATATTTCACCAAAGTACAACTTAAAAACTGTATTCAACACTTAAAACACATTTTTTTTTTTGGTCACGAGGAAATCGCCGGACTTTCGCCCTCCCCTGGGGATGAAGGGCGGGGCATGTCGGAGTCGAACTGACTAAAACCTCCTGTCGCTCAACAACCCGCGTCCGAACCTCGCATGAGACAGAACCCATGAAAAGGCAAAGGGGGAAAAGTGAAGCGTTTAGTGCGGAGCACATCTCTCCCATCACCCTCCACCTCGGGACACCGGACCGGCGGTCGTCGGCGCCACGACCACCAGCCCTCTCGGTCGGCAGGCTATCCGGAGCCCGTCTAGATGACGCCGGTTAGAATGGGTTATCCTACGGAATACCCCGCTGGGTCAGAATCAGCGTGGGTTGAGGATAGCCAGCCTTCCATCACCCGGATGCTCTTGCGTAAATCACGTGCAGAGCAGCTTGCACGTCGTCTTCTTAGGCCCCCTTTGCCGGTCCCCAGACCGACATGTGAAGGGGACCCGAAACACTTAGAGGGCCAGGGCTTGGGCGATATCCGCCTCCCTGGCCCCCGCTCGACGGCGGCGTGCTTGCGCGTCTCTCACGCGCCCCGCCGCCTCCTTCTGCGAGATGGTGCACTCGCAGAAGTTGAGCATCGCCTTCCACGACTCGTCGTCGCTGAGCATCGATGCCACAACACTCGACAACGACAAGTCGTTTCCTATTTTTGCGACGAGGACACGGCGCCACCCCTCCCATGCGGGGCAGGCAATGAGCGTGTGCTCTGCCGTGTCCAAGTCGCAACCACAATGGTGGCACTCTGCCGTCGGCTCGGACTTAAAACACTTAAACACTTCACAAACACTTAAAAACTCTCAATTTGCTTGCTCCGCTTCGCTTCAGGTGATCCGTTCGCTGTTTCGCTTCGAGTAGTTCCGATTACTAATTGACTACGTGCCATTTCTACAACGCTTTTATAGCCGATACCTCATCCCTAGAATTATCGAGAATATTCCACACATCTCAAGTCGTAATTTCCGCTATCTGTCAATAGATGGCGTTGTACGTCTCGAGCGTATTGGGTGCTTCTAGGTCCTTCGATATTCGTTCGGCTATTTGGCGATAGATGGCGTTACTCTTACCGGCGTAACAATATTTTACAAGGCTTGATAAGAATCTTGATAAAAACTAAAACATTCTATTGGATTTGAAAACCCAAGCGTTCGGTTCGGCTAAAGGATCACGCGGCTCACTTCCATACGCTTTTTGTTTGATAGCTGCAATCTGTGACTTGTAGTATTGTTTACGTTGGAACCCTCACGCGGCTCACGGTTGACCGGCTCATGGCCATAACGGTTCGGTAAGGCTCACCGGTAGCACCGTGGCCTGAATGAAAATACTCGATTTTTTGGGTGTCGTTCAACGTGTTAAAAGTGATTTTATAAATAAATAATAAAAATAAAATAAAATAAAAAGCCTTTTATTTCTTGCATTTAAAAAAAGTGACATTACAAAACTTATACAAAATTGTTAATAATACATTATATAACAATAGATACTAATTATAATAGAATTCTTAATATAATGTGTATAATATTAGTCGGATCGCTTAAGTTCATTAAATTTTAGTAAAAGATATAAAAAAGGTTATATTAAAAAGTGATATTAGTTGCATAAAATTAAATTTTCCATGGCACAATCAAATCCGTAAAATTTACATTTATTTACGTTTTTTTTTATTGTCCTTGTAGGCAGACGATCATACGGTGAATGGTTACCGTCGCCCATGGACTTCAGCAATGCCAGGGGCAGAGCCAAGCCGCTGCCTACCGTTAAGTACTCTCCACAAGCCTCATTTGAAGAAGAATATGTCATAGCGCTCGGGCAACACCGTGGGAGCTTATTCCAAAGCCGTGGTACGTGGCAAAAAAGATCTCTGGAGATGCACTTCGGTCATCCACAGTATGATTAAGTACCATCCTATTATTTCTGTTTCGAAGTCATCGTATTCCCGGATTGTAGAGTGGGGCGGCCGTTAAATAGTCCGCCGTATTTACGTTATGATGCTAATGGGCTCCTGTATTCACTCAATAAAGAAAGGTAATAAAGTTTGACTGACCTGTTGCATGCTGACGTTACCCTCGTCTATGTCAAATGGCGGTCGCACCGAACATAGAGTCCGTCCCATACACGCGTACGACATTATGGTTATGGAACCTGCAACAAGAATTTTGGCTTTCAGAACGAGGCAGTTAAGTTCAGAAGTTATGACTTGGCATGGTTTTTATTCGGTTCACTGACCCCTGTTCACCTCAATTTTAATTAGGCAAATTTATGAGAGGAAAGTTTTGTTATTTTCGAGAATAGATTTGTTTATTGTTATTCTGATGTTGTTTCCGAATTACAAAATCAAGCTTGTTCGTAAATAAGCGTTAAATTCTTGAAATGATAAAAAAAAGTTCAAATAAATAATTAGAATAAACAAGCTATCAATACTTTTATCGTGTCTGCAGTTCGCCTTAGCTTCAGGATAACTTTTTATATTGATAATGAAGAATTAACTTTCTGTTAACATTACCAAACGACTGTCATCTTGGGCTTCAATCGAAGGTCTGTTGTTTCTACGTAGGACCACAGCTGCATAGGTTTTCGCATGACAGCACCTTAGGTGTAGCCCTGGTCTTGATGTCACACACGAGCAGTAAAGCTTTCTGCCTAACTAAATACCTACTACTAGCTACCATGGACCTAACTGTTTCTGAGAAGCATTCGTGCGCTTTGCGTGTTAGATCAACAATATTAAAATACTAATGAGTCATTTCCTCATGTCTTAAGGTGGGTATTTACTTTATCGATGTCTATGGACTCCAGGTATTCTTCTACAAAATAGTTTGATGGCGTGAAGCATACGAACGAGTATAACACTATAAATATAAATAAGTAGCAATGGGTATCGCACCGAATAAGCAGCGAGGTGCGATGTTGAAAAAATAAACCAATCTTTCGAATTATATTATGTTTTTATTTATTGCTTAGATGGTTCACCTGGTGTTAAGTGGTTAACGGAGCCCATAGATATCTATAAGGTAAATGCTACCACCCACCTTGAGACATGACTTCTTGGGTCTCTGTTTTTACAGTGCAACGGCTGCCCCGCCCTTCAAACCGAAACGCATTACTGCTTCACGGCAGAAATAGGGAGGATAATGGTATCTACCTGTGCGGACTCATAAAAGGTCATACCAGCAGTAAGTACGCAAAATATATTTATATTCCTTCACCAATGGAAGTCAATCGTGAACAATTGTCAAGTACGTATTTCATTACAAAAATTTGTACCTGCCTGTGGGATTCGAACACCGTTGCATCGCTTGATAAGATTGCACCGGACGTCTTATCCTTTAGGCCACGATGACTTCATGTTGTAACTATTATTGGAATATGGATTTGTCGTTCAGCAATCTTTCAACATATAAACATAATATATTATTTAGAAAAAACACACGCCAAAAATCATCATTCTCAGGTGCAGACATTTAAATCCTTTGAAATAAACACGCAAAAAGTTTTTTCTACTAAAATATTGGGTGATTTATCTTGTTTCGTATCAATCCTGTGCCAATTACCAATACCTCTCCAATACCCGTGTGAGATAAATTAGATCAATTTTCTTTTCGAAGGTGTGAAAAAAATATTTTATTACGTTTATCACGAGGAATCCTGGGACTATCCATCATCAAATTCAATCAACAAGCTTGATGGTTTTCAAAAGCCTTGAGAGAATCGAGCATTTATGAATCCGGATTTTATAAACAGAACTAGCTGTACCCGTCCGCTTCGCTGGCCATTTAAAATTAACATTATTATTTCTAACCCCCACAAAGATTCTCATCAATAACGCCCCCGCAACTGGTGTAGGGAGTTCAACACTCATATAAATATTAAGCTATTCATTAAGTACATGTATTTTCTACAAGTTTCAAGCCAATCGGATGCATGGTTCAGTAGTTATAACGGAACATCCGTAAAAACCACTGTAGATTTATTTATTAGTATAGATAAACAGAGAGCAAGCTCGGTCGGCATGACGTCATCATTGCCGTGTTTGAGTAAGGGAGGTGCGGAGGGTGTACAGGCATTCAAAGTGGGAATGAAATTTGTTTGGGTTCACCATTGATTATACACTAATTACGGCAAATTGCTCACGTTCTCGGCTTTTATTTGTTTAATTTAGGCTCCGGAGACGAACAGAAGGCGTTAAATCGCTTAAATCATTTATAATTAATTAATTTTAGCTAACAGTAATTGAAAACGTGATAATCGTTATGTTTTTATAAGTGTCTATAATTACTTGAACCGCTGCGGCTATGAACTTGAAATTTTGGTAATAGATGCCTTTTATGTTGTAATCAACTACTAAGGACAGATTCTAGGAAATATCACCCCTATGCGTTTTAAAGTAAAGGATGAAGGATTTAATGGAAGTTTTTTTAGGTTGGGTAATCCAGTTTTCTGATGCCCGACTCATGGGGCTAGGTCGAGTTATGTCGGACTTCAAGACGACTACCGATTAAACCCCATCGATCACTCTTCCGACGTCTGATCCCCATCCGAGACGGAACTCGGATCAGGGTAGGTAAAGGAATCATACGGTCTACATTATTACCAGACACGCGGCTCCTCCGAGAATGCCCGGTCGACGGAATCGCCGAGGCGACAGCTGACAGCTCAATGCCGGCTATCACAGTACGGTAGCCAGACACCTCCGTGCTGCTACCGGTGTCTCGCGACACCCCACTGGGCCAGAACCAGCTTGCCGGGTCGAAAACGCGATACACCGTCGCCCATTCGCTCTATCACGCACGTACACACAGGGCGGTACTGCAGAACTGCAGATCCGCCGGACCACCGTCATGCGATGGCATGCTAGAGTATTGGTAGCGCGCTACGCAGCCTCGACCTTCTCAGATCTTCCCATGACCTTCAATGAAGTGAAAACGCCTCCTACAGGGGCCGGAGCCGGGCGGAAACCCTTCTTGGGCCCCTGGCTTGGCGGCGACGGATAGGTACGGAAAGGAATAAACTCTTCAGTATTCATTAAGCCTTCAGTACTCATCGTTGCCGAGTAAGCAATTAAAAAAAAAAATCGTAGCTACGATGGTCGGCAGTCACAAGTCCGGTGCTATGCGCGCGATGAGAATACGACGCCCTAATGGCACTCCTATGGTCCTATGGTCCTCCATACTCCTATGGTGTATATTATTACTTTCTAACTTAGCAGCAACTCCTAACAAAAGGAACCTTGACTTTTTTGTTTAAGAAACGCACTGAACCCATCTCGAGAAGTGACGTTCAAATATCATGAACATTATAGCGGTAGCTGTTATTCAAATGCAATTGAAGACACAGTGGTAAGTCGTAAAGTAATTAATAAAAAGCATCAACGAAACGCACCTTGAGAAGTGAGGTCGAAATCTCAATTTTTGGACATAATTTCCGCCTTGCTTGGAAAACCAAAACAAATGCGTTTTAGAATTGACAGGATGTTTAGTTGTGTGAAATTATGCTAAAAAGGAACCCTTTAAATTAAATTAGACTAATTTCATTGGTCCGCGGGCAACTAAGAGAAACATCACGTGCAATCTTGTGCGGTGAAAATTTTCTAATTACGTACGAAGCCATTTTATCAACAAAGAGGAAAAACTTATCTTGAGTTTCTTTCGTATTTTTTTTTTCTACAGTATATGAGTAAGTAGAATTCCCCTATACTTTTGGAACCAGGAACTCAAATACATACTTAAATGTGTTTCTCTTCATGTACCTTCTTCTTCGTCGCTTACTGAATGAAGGTCGTGTCTTCACAACTTCACTAGTCGTCGTGGCCTAAAGGATAAGACGTCCGGTGTATTCGTATCGAGCGATGCAACGGTGTTCGAATCCCGCAGGCGGGTACAAATTTTTCTAATGAAATACGTACGTAACAAATGCTCACGATTGACTTCCACGCTGCAGGAATAACATCGTGTAATAAAAATCAAACCCGTAAAATTATAATTTGCGTAATTACTGGTAGTAGAACCTAGCGTGAGTCCGCATGGGTAGGTACCACCACTCCTACCCATTTCTGCCGTGAAGCAGTAATGCGTTTCGGTTTGGAGGATGGGGCAGCCGTTGTAACTGTACTGAGAATAAAAAGCAACCGAGCAATAAAAGAAATATATTAAAAAAAAACATCACTGCGGCCTGTCTCATGAGCTGTTTCCACCTTGTCCGATCCTCAGCTTTTCATAGGGCGGTTGCACTGCCAGCTCAGTTAGGGTGGTTATTTGGTCACACCAGCGGCTAAGTGATAGGCCGCGACGTCTCTTTCCTTCCACCTTACCCGTCACGATCACTGTGTCTAAGTTATCCGGCTGTCGGCGGGCAATCTAACCGAAGTAGCTGAAGATCCTCTGGTAGCAGATTCTTGAGAGCCTGGCTCGGATACGAAGCTGATCTAAAATATACTTATTTGTCCTCTTGGCCGTCCATAATTTAAATCTATACACATATAGATATTAAACAGCCACATGGAGAGCAAACGTCCTAATATTTGCTCGTAGTGGGAATCGAACGCACGACCTACGGCTCAGCGATCGCTAATTAATTTTTTTTGCTTTGATAGGTGGACGATCTCACAGCCACCTGATGTTAAGTGGTTACTGGAACCCATAGATATCTACAACGTAAATGCGCTAACCACCTTAAAGTTGTAAGGTCTCAGTATAGTTACAACGGCTGTCCCATCCTTCAAACCGAAACGCATGATTTGATATTATCATATTTTATTTATTCTTTCAACTTTTGAATACTTTTTAAGAATAAAGTAGCTTTTTTGTGCCAACCGTCTCTTCTCATTGGTGTCGTATTAGATGTAGTATTATCGTAAAGTAATTAAGTCCATCACCGCTAAACATTAGGTGGGACAGACCTCTTTCACTCATCAATTTATTTATTTTTAAAACTTGTGACATGCCAACAGAATTTTTTTACGAGCAAATTCAACAATATCTATAAAAAAAATTGATATATAAAGAAACAACCAAAAGTTATGTTTCTTATTTTTTTAACTAAAAAACAATCTTTCTTCTCGAACTTTACTACCCCTTGAATCCCTTTAAGGCCGGAATTTCAAATATACATTCCTAACTGCGCGCCCAGTGTACCCAAAGAATGCTATCTCTGTATTTAAAAAAAAACTGATTCCACCAGCCTAGGTTAATCTCCGACAGTCGGGCTTAATACTAAAATTTAATGATATTATGCCAAAACAAATTTTATTTCAAATTCTTAACAACTTTGTCTCTCCAATACAAAGTGCCTTTGATCGTTATATTAGGATTGGAATCAATACAAATGTCTGCAAAGTTTATTAACAAAAAAAAAAGATCGTATCCAAAATTTCATGAAATATTTCTTTTATATTATATTATATTTCAATTGTTATCTTTAATCCATTTATAATAGAATCTGTCACTCACAATATATTAGTAAAGAAAACTATTTCGGATTTACGCACAATTTAATGTTTGAAACATCAGGAACCATACATTGCCAGATTCGATTTGTGTATCAATACAACTAGATGATGACCGAGCTTTGCTCGTTTTTATTTTTATTTTTATAACGCCATCTTGTTGTGTCTTTAAAGCAGTAAAAATAGTATTATTATTCACCAATAGATGTCGGGAAGGGTCATAAAGTTGATTATCGATAAAGTTGATTATTGAAAACACGAATAAAACAACATTTTCTGAAAATAAATCGTAGCTAGATCGATTTATCGCCCTCGAAATCCCCTGTATTTACTGGTGGTAGGACCTCTTGTGAGTCCGCACGGGTAGGTACCACCGCCCCGCCTATTTCTGCCGTGAAGCAGTAATGCGTTTCGGTTTGAAGGGTGGGGCAGCCGTTGTAACTATACTGAGACCTTAGAACTTATATCTCAAGGTGAGTGGTGCATTTACGTTGTAGATGTCTATGGGTTCCAGTAACCACTTAAAACCAGGTGGGCTGTGAGCTCGTCCACACATCTAAGGAATAAAAAAAAAAAAAGTATACTAAGCTTTATGAAAATCGTTGGGGCCGTTTCCGAGATTCAGATTTATCAGAGAGAGAGAGATATATATATACGAGAATTGCTCGTTTAAAGGTATAAGATGTGTACAATCTGTTATTTTCTGTTTATCGAATTCGAATTTAATTTGATGCTTTAAAAACACGACTGGATTGTGAACAAAAACAAATAGAATTACAAATGTTTTTGCGATACTAAGAAGTGATTGCAGAAACTAAAACGGAGCGCTAAGATGTACAGAATTTCACGAGTTTCCAATTTGCATTGTCTTTATGAACAGAATGAATCCGAGATTAAAATGTGAGGGCACGTGGAGACGGAGCAGATCCTTAAGTAATCGTTGAGCCGTGTATTGTGTTGATTAGACGCAGTCGCGGCCCCTGCAAATGGTTCACGGCGTTTTACCCTCCATTGTCAGCCATTTCGAAGGGAACATTGAAATTTGTTCATCGTGTTAGATTCATTCAAAGATAATTAAAACTAAAAATGATTTACTATTGATGAACGATTGATGAACTATTATTTTACTTATTAAATCCAACTTGTGATACGTATTTTTTTTAAATGTTTTATGAAGAACAGAATATATTCGAATTTATGTTCATAATCTAATTTATTTACTTTTTTTTATTGCTTAGATGGGTGGACCAGCTCACAGCCCACCTGGTGTTAAGTGGTTACTGGAGCCCATAGACATCTACAACGTAAATGTGCCACCCACCTTGAGATATAAGTTCTAAAGTCTCAAGTATAGTTACAACGGCTGCCCCACCCTTCAAACCGAAACGCATTACTGCTTCACGGCAGAAATAGGCGGGGCGGTGGTACCTACCCGTGTGGACTCACAAGAGGTCCTACCACCAGTAATTACGCAAATTATAATTTTTGCGGATTTGATTTTTATTACACGATGTTATTCCTTCACCGTGGAAATCAATCGTGACCATTGGTTGAGTAAGTATTTCATTAAAAAATTGCTTGCTGTGCTTCATCCATCTCGATGGCCGACAGTGAACACTTTAAATCTCGTGATCTATCAGCATGCCTTTCTTCAATGCAAAGATGACGAGTACATGTTACAGCCTAGCGAAGCCTTAATTGCATAATATTCTGACATAGACATACATATACCTGTACATACCTGTACATAGTTATATGCTTGTAATGTACAACAAATTTAACAGTTGAGATTAAACCGTAAAAGTATTTTTAATTGAACCCTTTTAGTGCTAAGTTCTTTTTCACATATTTTGCAGAAATTGCTAATGGATTATTATCAAAATGTGATCAAAAAAGAAGTAAATTATTATCAAAATGTGCACAGAATATTAATTATTTACCTCAAATTTTAATGAAGAGGATTTTCGTAGTTATGTTATTATGTGTAAGAGTCATATCAATATACTCAAATGAAACATATTTTTTTAATGTAACTGTATTTATTAAATTTTAAAAAAGAAAACGGCTTTACTCGGTATTACGACGCTCTGCACTTTGTACACATCAATAGAGAATCGATTTATCGACGGCTCGCACTTTAAATGTTAAATAAAACAATTTTTGACTGGTGGTAGGACCACTTGTGAGTCCGCGCGGGTAGGTACCACCGCCCTGCCTATTTCTGCCGTGAAGCAGTAATGGGTTTCGGTTTGAAGGGTGGGGCAGCCGTTGTAACTATACTGAGACTTTAGAACTTGTATCTCAAGGTGGGTGGCGCGTCTACGTTGTAGATGTCTATGGGCTCCAGTAACCACTTAACACCAGGTGGGCTGTGAGCTCGTCCACCCATCTAAGCAATAAAAAAAAGAAAGAAAGGCGAATGCTATTCTTCTAGGACATACGGTCGCAATCACATTTCGCACCGGTAAAATAAGATCGACAAGACACATAATCCGACTACATGTTTAAAAAAACACGTGTGGCACTCGGGGACTACCGCGGTAAAGCTATTGCATAGCATTTTTTATCAACTTATGCAATTATAATTAAACAATAATAATTTAATATTCAAAAAATAATAATAAAAAATAGGACCACGCTATATTTATAAACATTAACAAAAGCAAAACATTAACTGTCCCCTTCACACTCTTATACTAAACCGCGCGAGAGAGAGATGGGCAGATTTTTCATGATGCGCATGCAGTGCGACGTCACGTCGCGAGCTTATTCACAAACACTACACAAGCGTAATGTGTGAATGTGATAAACGTGAGCTACATGGTAGGCGGGGTGGCAGTTGTTAGGTTTTATTTTCGTTACGGAATTTGTTGATTCGGTCGCCGCGCTCAAAGCCCGCTATGCCCGCTAAAAGCTATGCAATAGCTTATAAAAAAATAGATATCCGAAAATGAAAAATGCTTTGTTATCATTTTATATTCGTTTAAAACTTTTTTAAAGCACGCTATCATCAAAAATGCGTTTTCGACTCTCACAAAGGAGGAGTCCGGCGTGAAATTAAAATCATGACGTACCAGTGAAACGGGTTTTGGAAAAATATAGCCTGTCAGTTTGACACCGCGTGGATACAACGCTTTTATATCGAACCAATTTAATTACTTTAAGCCCTTGTGTATTGCTACAATTTTAATAAAATCAAATTAGTAGAAAAGCCAATATTAAAGCAGTTACTAACCATGGCGAAACTGAGAACTAATTATTTATAAGCAATGGAGATTCCATATCACCTATTTTCCTTACAATATCCTTTTAATAAATAAAAAAATACAATAAAAACCAAAGGTCAAAGTCGAAAAAAAACAACGCATCACAAAAATTAATCCATCGTTCGCCTGAGGTCACAAATATTCTATTGAGATTGATCAATAGGATCGGTTCGAGGAAAATCTATTCTAAATGGATTCCAGAGTATTAAAGCCCCTTGTAGTCGGAAAACTCGGGACCTATGTTATTGGAAAATGATGTAGTGGATTGTCGATGGTCGATCGTTAGATATGAACCTCCGTTCATACATAGGCACAATCATAATTCTGGGTATTTAGGTATAAACAAGCAGTTGGAGGTAGCTTGGTTTTACCCCTGGTATTGTCATGGCGTGGTTTGATCAAAAGGAAAGATTTATGAATTACTAACTTCAATCATCTCCCAATTAAATTAATCTTAAGCAATGAATGAAATGTATCCAATTCTTAGCTGTATATTTTATTTTTATTTTTGATGTTAATGCAATGTCGATTGCACCTATAATTGAGGTGACATCTGCCATGAACTTTTGTCAATTTGTCAATGAATTGTATTGATGATCACTTTGTTGGTGCAACTTATTAAATAAATAAATAAATAAATAAAACGCGCGTACAAAAACTTTAAATCTGTTTCATAATATGATTAAAATAAATTTAATGATAGCTCTATTAGCTTTCCAACTAAAACTAATTTCTATAAGAATTATTATATGTTTGCTTAATATTACCTGTGGTCACTAATAAATAAATGGTGACCATTCGAGATTCTAAAATGACCAACAGTGCCATTTCAAATGAGATTAATATATTAGAAATTTCCTGTTGTAAATCTTCCTCTTGAACGTGGAGAGGATGATAAAATTTGACGTGATAGATTCTTTTAACTTTTTCTATAAATTAATCTTAACTTTTTATAACCCACAGAGGTGGTTTTTTCCCCCCTATCTATTCGCGGGTAGCTTAAGAGTCTTTTCCAGCTATGCCCGGACGGGTAGACGAGCTCACGGGCTCAACCTGAGAGAATTTGCTAATACTAGCCCTAGCAAGAGCAGTGCTTCTCAAAATCTACCACCGGATAGGAATTTATATATATTTTTATGAAAATACATAAAAGTAAAAATGAAACTACTAGGTACATATTTAATTTATTAATTCTGACCTGGTATTGCGTAGACTAGAGTGAAACTGAACATTCCATACTGCTTCCTGGTCTCCGGTGAAGGCCATTCCTCAATGCAGAAATGGATATCTCTGGTTTCTATCTGAATAGAAGAGAAATCAAAATTGTTAAAAGTATCAAAAGTATAGCTATGTAAACTCTAATTAAAACTACTTATACTGTTTAATCATCCGTTATTACTGTCGACCTTACAACGTATGAATTTGCTGCATTACAATATCATTATTATTTACTATATAGTAAATTTGACACATGGATATTTTTTTTCTAAAAAAATAAGCCCGTAGTTGTCCGAGAACTTAGGTCAACAATCAACTAATTAAAGGCGCTAGTGGAAGTGGACGATTCTCAATCTACTGCTGAATGAGCAGTTTTTTTCTCTCTTACCTATGCTGATAGCCTTGAGAGGCTATTTCAGCTTCACCCTAACGTGTGTAGGTGAGCTCACGGGGCTCAAGCCGGAGTGTTGCTAACACTGACCCTAGCAAGAGCAGGGCTTCGCAGAATCTACCACCGGATCGGAAACGCGAGCCACTGAGAAGATCCGGCGAGAATTCCGTCTGTGGGGAATTAGCAGTAGCTTTCAACGTTAGCATTAACATTATATTGGTCCATTTGCATCCAATAGGCGAGGTAAAAAAACTTAATAAGTGGATGCCGCACGAACTGAATGATCGCCGGTGTGACAAATTATGCCTTACGTTGCTTAACAGACAAGCTCCTGGCTGAGCATTTTCTCTCCCACTTACCCTGGTGAAACTGGAAAGGCCTCTGGGCCAATAGTAATCACTCATTCAAACAAACAAAAAAGACATATCGGCGAAAGAATTTTGAGCTGAATTGTCACTTACTAAGAACCCACATAGTCCACGTGCGTGGCCATCTACGTTTTTTTTTTCAAGGTATGTGATTTGAAGGGCCTTTGTTAGCAGCTTTGCGGGTCATATGATAGTTTACCAGCGTAATTCAATACATAAAGAAAACATCCCTTGTGCGGTGTACGAGTCAGATTTCAAGAGCTGATAGCCAACCTTTGCGGATTTGAAGAGGTCTTTAGTGAAAGGCCTTTGTGCTTAAATCTTATTTGTGAACCTTTTCGTTGTTTCCTTATTTATTTCGCTAGCATAGAAGACGTTTCGTATTTTTCTGAATCTTTTTAACGGACAAAGTATTCCCGAGATTCCCGCACGTCACACACATCAAAATCCTTTTTGAAATGTACCACATTTCTAAAACTAGTCGTTATGATCGCGGATCAACTAACTATTATTCTTCATCAGTTAAATCTTCTAATACTATATTTTTTACAGGGTTCAAGCTATTTCTATACCGTATATACACCGTACATACTGGCATCATCGGTTGTAATCAGAAACTTCTAGAAAATGATATGATATGATATGATTTATCCGAAATTAATATAATGGATCAACAGCTTACGTCGGATCTAAATTGCTTAAGGTAAATCTTTTAAAGTATATTATAATAAAAGAACGAATAATCAAAGTGCGTTTCGCTCATTAAAAATTGAAGATCTCAGAGATTATCTTCAAAGCAGTAGGGAGCCAAGGATAAAAATTTAATTAACAAATGGAGAAGGTAGAAAAAAAACAGTCTTCAGTGGGGAGTGTCTGAGACTTACTTCAACAATACCAGGATTCTTCAAAGGGCCAAAGGCGAAGGTGAAAAGTTATTCGCATTCTGAATAAAGCGTTACAGGTATAAAATTGTCCTCGTTTATATACACGTATGTACTTCGTGGGAGAATATCTATCACGATATTCAAAATGTTTTCAAATAAGCGCATTGCCTTACATACTTTGATAGTTCTTTGTTTTTATTCTTGTTATTTTATGCAATATTAGTATTTGTATTAATCTTATTTGGATTTACGATTCGGTAGTACTCGACGGCGTAATACATGACATTAATTGCTTTTATATAAAATACTGAGGCTAGCTCAGTGGGAGAAAATAATCGTAATATATGTATAAAAGAAACCACGGTCCTCAAAAATAAATTAATGTTTGAACGGGAAGAAATATTTCTAAATAATCCTCCATCAACTTGTCTATATTTGTTGAACAGCTGTCCAAACAAATCATAATATGTATGAGACATTTAGGGCGTGTTTTTGTTTGAAGATGTAATTAATCAAATCTCGCAGAGAGCGTCTTTCATTTTATTGAAACGAACACAGTTCGTAAGGTTTTTTCTTTCAAGAAAATACAAGAAGAATACGCTTTAAAAGAAATATAAGATAAGAATTGTCTATTGAGTTTAGATGTAAATTACGCACAGTAGATAATTAATCAGGGCTATTCGCAAGTATATTCGTAATAAATTGGTTGCTTCATTTTACTAAAAATGTACAATATTTATTTTGTAATATAATATTATTAACTATTCAGACTACAGATACAGACAGACTATTCATACAACTACAGATTCTATGGTATAGGGGAAGGAATGAAGGTCTCCTCTAAGATTATATACATATACATAATATATACAGGATGTCGATACCAACTCTTGCGTACTTACAATAAGTTCTACCCCAATAACACAAATCTGATAGATTTTACAAATTGGATTTAGATTATACAATGATGGTGGTGTTAATCTTTGAAGTGTTAATACGTGTCAAGTACTTATTTTTTTAAGAAAAGTTGATTCCTTCTTGCGGAATTTGAACAGCATATCAGGGAATCAGGGAATCAGGCCACGACTTCAAAAATTAATTCAAACGTAATAAATACTTGAATACCATATTCTGAATCAAACACATCCATGTTATATTGTATTACCCAATGAACGCTGGTTATAATAACACTAGTTGATCAAAATACAAAAACTCGAAAAGCTAAATGTAATTTCAGATGAAAGAAAAAATAATAGAACAATGACTACAATTTTGGTTCAGAAAATTCTTGAAACGGTATTATCTATTACCAATGTTGTTTCTTTTTTGTTAGACGAGACAAAGATAGAGGTACCATTTACTTAAGGAGGTCACGTGACAATAATATTACATATACTATATATATAATTATATGTTTGAAAAATAAAACTATTTGTAAAATAAAATCCAACCAAATAAAATGTTATAGTAAAATCCGCTAAGTTAGATTTAATAAATTTCGTTGTTGTTATATATAAAATTGTCTATGAGAGTCTTGGCGGTTGGCCAATAACGTAACTCATCAGATGCTTGCCAATTCCAGCTTCGATATCTTCTTGTCGATAGTCTTGTCTCTTGTAGTATGTACATATGGCATTAAGTTTTCGTTTTCCTTACAGATATTAGATCCCAAATTCTCCGATAGAACTGTGACTATCTCAAGTTGTTCCCGCGGGAAAAATATATGTTAAGAGCTTGGGATAGATAATACATCTATCTACAGATCTACAGATACTTGTGCGTTGTGTTCTTAGTGTGAGTTTCTTAACTTTCTCGATAGCGTCAAAGTTAACTAATTTTTTTTAAAAGTTGGAACGTTTGCCTATGTTTGCCGCTAGGGGTGCTGTTCCAACTGCATACAAATTTGATTTAACTTTTTCGCTATCGACAACGTTAAAAAACTCGCACTAAGCACATGGAGCTTACTGTACCAGAAGCTGCTGCAGTCGTTACTCAGAGTACATTTCAAAGATTTTATATCTTTAGCTTTAAGAAATAGCTTTGATGAATACTGAGCAGAGCCACGTCCTTTATCTTCATTCTACTTATTTTTAATGTGTTAGATAAAGCCAGCATAACATGTGTATTTGTATCTACTCTGATTAAATTTGGTTTTGGTTTATAATATCACCCACGCTCACAGGAAATCATAGGGAGTTTGAAACTAAGGATGTGGTGTTAAATTGGTAAAAAAATCACTTACTGAAATGTTCTTATCTCCTTTGGATATTATAGGAATGGTTTCCTTTCGCACACCCGCTACTAGAGACGTTGGAATGAAGATAAGCAGTGCAGCGATCCAAAGTAGCATGAGGAGCAGCGTCGCCTGTTTCCTGCCTGGCGGCCGAAGACGAGGTTCTGGAGTAATGGACAGCCAACGGTCCACTGACATCGCAGAGATCGTGAACACGCTAGCCGCCACTGCCACACCTGCAAAAAACACAGGATTATTGCAATAAATAATAGATGACGATCAAGTACAGGCCTTGTCTATGCTTTAAGGCTACGTACGCTACTGAAGTATTACCGCTATAAGAAAGTGAATACCTTATTGTCCCAACAAACAGCTTTACGATAGCAGTTTTAGTTGACGATAGAAATAAGGGGAACGATTTTGTATTTATGTGCACCGGGCTTTAATTTTTTTTTTTTTTTTTATTGCTTCGAGCTCAGAGCCCACCTGTGTTAAGTGGTTACTGGAGCCCGTAGACATCCCCAACGTAAATGCGCCACCCACCTTGAGATATGAGTTCTAAGGTCTCAGTATAGTTACAACGGCTGCCCCACCCTTCAAACCGAAACGCATTACTGCTCCACGGCAGAAATAAGCAGGGTGGTGGCACCTACCCGCGCGGACTCACAAGAGATCCTACCACCAGTAAAAAAGTCAATTTAGTCATCAGTCATTATGGTTATATTTTCAATGCACTTTTGACAAAAATATGTATAAAGATATTTTATTTAGCACGTTGACTGCCAAGTAGGTCACCGGTGCCCTACGCACTGAAGTAATTATATCAATTTATGTTACTAAGCGTCTGCATTGCCTTTTTTTTCGAACCGTGGGTCGATCCTCCTACGAGGTCTCCGCGCCTAGGGGGCGTGCGAGGTATGTGGGACTGGACCGTGACTGCGAGACCGCGGGCCCAAGGATGTTTTCAGGGCCCTACCCACTAAACGACTCCCCTGCACTCTTCGCCCAAGCGTCCGATCCTCTCCGAGGTCAGAATCCGGATGAGATAAGGGGGTTACCGCGGTCAACACTACAACCAGATGGTGCAGCTCACCCCAAGGACGCCCGGCCGACGGAGCCTTCGAGGCGAATCGAGGGCTTTGAAAGTGGGCCGTCTCGGTACGGCAGCCCGTCAGGCCGCCCAGACGGTGCCGCTGGTGTCCCGGAATACTCCGCTGGACGAGCTTGCCGGGTCGGGGTGCGATACACCGCCAACCAGTCAATCCTTGGCAGCGCGCTAGAGTGCTGGTAGCGCGCCGCGCGGCCTCTACCCCCTCAGGTCGCCCCGTGACCTTCACCGGGGGAGCGTCTGCATTGCCTAGATTTGCCTTCTTTTGTTTGTTAATGTAAGTCTTTTAGGTCTCTTAGAAATAGATTCATTCTCGGTATCGTCGGATTCATCTTTCCCAGAGTCTACTAGATATTCCGGCGTCTCAGAAGAGAGAGAAAGAGAGAAAATGGCATAATTACTTCAGTACGCCGCGTATCGACGACCTACATGGCAGTCAACATCGTTAAACAACTTATATTATGTTTTAAATCGTGTATAACTTCATTAAAACTAGTCCCACAACACACGGACGAACAACTTACGATTCTGATAACCGTAAATGTTTGAGCTTAGAATTGAAACTTGTCGTTTGTATTGGCTGCCTTCCGTTTCGACTCTGCGAAGCAATTGAATTAAAGTTCCTTTGAAATTCAACATCCGCAAAGTTAGTTTAAATGCATTGGCTTTTGAGGAAAATGTTTTAGATCGAGATCAGAAGTTTAAATTCAATGTTTCTTTATTTGAATCTAATTTGTTTTGAGCATCCGCGAACTTCCATTACACGTTATTTAGAAATTCAATAACTCTATTTTAAATTCTCGGGAGTACAAATTTTCCGTTATTCAATGCATTAATTAAATACAAAGTCTCCCCATATATCCTATGTATCCTTATCGGAGATATTAGATATTTTGAAAGCCCAAATACTTTTATAGCATAAATGGCAACTGGTTTGGCTGTGAAATAATAAAATTATATTAGCATATTATTATGCTGATGCTCAGACCAAATATTTTTCTTCAATATTGTGCTACAGTTAAATCTTAAAGCCATAGTCCCAGACATATGCTTACAATATATTTGGAACGGCAGACACGAAACACGATCAAAAATTATCCTCGATTTGGTGAAAATTGAATGAACCCAATTTGTGGCTTTCATATTAAATTTTCATTTACTTTCTGTCCAACATGAGCGTGATATAATACCAGTTCTTAGATTTATTTATTTTGTAATAAGGTTTTTATTTTTATAACCACACTTAGGTCATCGTTTAAGGAGAACAAGCTTACGCCAGAATAGATTTCATTTCTTCCTTTACATACGTATTCTCATTAGGCACTCGGATAAAACCCGTTTATCATCCCTATAAAGAGCGACAAAGCAATTCTCCCGGACCAATACTACGTTTTATTTTCAGTACCATAAATAAAGCGATACTTTCCTATGTATCGCTTCGATCACTACCGGCATTCTCATATTGTATCCGTGTGAACATTTGCAAATGCAGACTAGCAACGAATGAAAATATTCAATAAACGTTTATGTATCGGTTTTAATTCGACCGCTTTCTTGTTTCCTAACAGTTTTCGAGCGAATTAAGTGTTTTTTAAATTTGAAGAAACACAAATTTCGTTATGTAAATATTATTTCTATTGAAACGAATTATTCTTAGCTGTTCAAAATTCAAATTCAAATTCAAATTAGCCCTAATAGTAATATGATCCCTCTCCACGAGCAGATTGAACGAATAATTGTCCATTAAGGTCCCATTGGGTTGTTTTAATTGGAACACCGCTGGTTGTTCGACGAAATGTCCCTTATTTAAACGAACGAACGGGGTCGTCGTACCCCTTTACAGAGGTACGAAACGGACCTCGGGGCGATCCGCACTGCCCGTGTAGTAGCTCCCTGCAACGCAGGTGAGGGGTGATGATGCGATGTTGGGTGGATTGGGGAAGGGGGTTCCTATGCGTGCACAGATGCATTATACATCGACATATATACGTACATATACATAATAATCTAGGTTCATCTTTGCAGAGAAGAATGGCGCCCGGGAGGAAGTTACAGTACCGGCCAGAGGAGAAAATTCATATAGCGGGCCCCCGCCAACGCTGACCTGGAGTAGGCGGGCATCCTCAAACTCCGGTCGATATCGACCCCCAGGTACCGGACGTTGGATCTAAACTCGCCATTGACACCACGGAGATTGAGCTGCCCCGGGACGAATCTTGTGCGAACCGGACCGAAGAGAATGGTCGCGGTCTTCCCCACGTTGACCGCGACCATTGGTCCAGCCACTGGGGCAGTAAGTCTAGCAACCTCTGCATCCTCGAGATGACTGCAGAGGGGAAGTTTGATTACGCGAAGTAAGCGATTGTGAGTATTCCATTTTGACCGCGCACTCACTAGAGGGTGCTACATGGGATAGAGACACGCCTTTGGATGCTAGTTCTAACTCTCATTCGCCCAGAATCAACGGTTTAGCTAGTTTATTTTTAATGCCACTCCAATCACTGAATGAGTAGTAGGAGTAGTAATAAAATTCTTCGACTAAGCGATAAAAAATGGCACGCCTAACGCATTGTAATGTGATATAATTTTCTATTTTACAATTCCGTTTCTCGTCGATAGATGGCGCTTGACGCAAAAGCTGAATCGCACTATCGTTGTGTTACCCACGAAATTATATCACATATTTTGATAGTACATAAATCGGTGTTTACTTCTTACTTTTAACACTACACAAGCGCAACGTGTGAATGTGTTGAACGCGAGCTACATAGTAGGCGTAGTGAGGGCTGGAAGGTTTTTTTCGTTACGGAATTTCATGATTCCGCTCTCAAGCCGCGCTCAAGGGCCCGCGATAAAATCTATGCAGCAGCTTAAAATAGTTATGAATTTTCTTAAAAAATGCGAAGAAACTTTTTCCTCTATCAATAAATCGTTTTTAAAAGTAACCAATCATTCGCATTATTCATTTTCACAAGAAAACTTATAAATAAAATTGACGTGACGTGGAAAACTTTGTTTTTATTTACAGTATCTTCAAAGCTCACAGATACCATTAGAATTAATAAACTCTTTTGAATTTCAGTAAAACAGTCACTTCTCGCCCAAGTTTGATAATTGCGACATGGCATCAATTGAATTTAAAATTATACTTTCTTGAACGAGCTCGTAGACTCTAGTGCACAATTTATTAATTCTCATGAAATATGTATAAATGATCTCATTTACAAACACATAGCTTAACGGCAAAGATAATGGATTACTTCATCTAATTATCACTTAATTGTATATATAATTACGGAGATATGTATGTGTACATATATGTATATGTATTTCTCTCTCTCTCTCTCTCTCTCTCTCGCTCTTTATCACTTGTTTTTTTTTTACAAAGTCATGATAATTAATCGAGACATAATTAACTCCAAAAGACTTTTAATTTCATTGAACTTTCGGAAGGATTTATTACGTATCATTAATATAGAAAAAAGTATTCACAAAACACATCTTTTTATACTCTCAGTTCCTTTGTTGTCTTCGTATTAATACCATTTTCAACATCATTTTTTACTTTACTTCCATTGCTCTTTTAGTTAATTAACATCTACCATCATTGGTACCATCAGTCTACTTATTTCTATTGTTTTGTAAGCTTTAATTAAATGGATAAGTAAGATGGAAATTCCAATTCAGATCTCAAAACTGTGTTGTTACAGTTGTTTTTAAGTGCTCTTATTTGTGTTATGATGTCTGCTGGGATGTATCAGGTCTTTAGCGAAATAGACATGGTATAAGTAATATGTAATGTGCCCTAAATTTTGCCCTTTTCTTCTTCATCGTTCCCTCACTGCTGAGGATTGCAACAAAATGTGACATTCTTCCACAGTGTTCTCTGGCTGGTGTTCTGCCCGCGGCGCGCTTGCCCTCTATGCGACCCGTAATTATGAGCTTCTCTAAGTCATGTTTTTTTTTTATGATTGAAGGATTACTGGTGGCCCTTCCAGTTTCACCAGGACAGGTGGGCGAGCAAAGGCTCAGCCAGGAGGAGTGGGATTTGCTAACAGCTACCCTAGCGCCTCCGAAGGAGACCTAACAACTCAAGAGTAGCTGCTTCGCGAATGAATCTACTACCGGATCGGAATCGCGACCCGCTGAGAAGATCCGGCGAGAAACTCAGCGAGCTGATTCATGGGTTAGGTTGCACGGCGAACTCTTTGTCGAGTTCGACGAGTACGGTTACCTCGACGAGTACGGTTACCTCTAAGTCATGTCTGGGACACCGCATGATGTGTCCGAAGAAGCTCATAACACGTTCCCGGCAGATGGAAGAGAGCATAGCAACACATTATCTTACCACAATTAAGAAAAATATCTATCTGCCTCGGACTAATATCATTATTCGGATGCGAAAACTCACCTTGAATGTAATTAACAATCTTGCAAACAGTCTCTCCGTAGAACCAAACGAGGGTAATGGCCTTGCTCAGTTGGATCGGCATACAAATGCCAGTCACGAGTAGGTCTGCCGCCGACAGATTCACCAGGAATATATCTGTGACACTGAAACAAATAACACGTATTTCAAAAGTTCTTATAAATTATATGTCGGAGACGGTCATTAGTTTGTTACAACAGAGCCTAGCCGATGGAGGCGCACATAGACGCCATTTCACTTACCAACCAGCCTTCTTGAAGAGCTGTGCCTCCATCCTAAGAACTGTCATTCGTTTTCGTTTGCTAACGTCAAGAGAAGATTTCTAAATTGTTCTAAGATAACAAACGTTTTATGTGTACAATATCATGCATAATAATCCCAAAAAAAGGAGCAATACAAAAAAAAAAAAAATGTGTGGTGTCGTGGGACACCGGATAGGAACGAAGTTTCTTATTATAAAAATATTAATTTTAAGTCCTATTCGAGGTATAAAGAAAATAATTATTCGGATATACATTTTTTATTATGATTTTTTTATTAATAAAAATAAATAAAAAATATTTTACTTTTTATACGTTATTACAAAGTTAAGTCATACACAGTGTGCATTACTAATTTGTACGTTATTACAAAGTTAAGTCGTACACTGTGTGCATTACTAATAAAAATCTTACGTTACGGACGTTTTTTCCCGGTTAGGGTACCCCTCTGCATCGTCCTATAAGGAACTTCGTTCCAAAAATAACTGCTTTCATGAGCGATGGCATAAAATGTTTCTTTAATCAACTTTGAACTATCAATCGTTTCGAATAAGTTTCACGGTTGTTTGCTTATTTAAAAATATAATAAATAAATAAGAATTGTAAGAAGCCCATACAAGTATTTTTTTTTAATTTATTGCTTAGACGAGTTTTTTTATTATTTTTTTATTGCTTAGATGGGTGGACGAGCTCGCAGCCCACCTGGTGTTAAGTGGTTACTGGAGCCCATGGACATCTACAACGTAAATGCGCCACCCACCTTGAGATATAAGTTCTAAGATCTCAGTATAGTTACAACGGCTGCCCCACCCTTCAAACCGAAACGCATTACTGCTTCACGGCAGAAATAGGCAGGGCGGTGGTACCTACCCGTGCGGACTCACAAGAGGTCCTACCACCAGTAATTACGCATATTATAATTTTGGGGGTTTCACTTTTATTACACGATGTTATTCCTTCATCGTTGAAGTCAATCGTGAATATTTGGTGAGTACGTTATTCATTAATTAATGTGTGTTGCCAGTGATGACTTACGGTTCCGAGACGTGGTTCTTCACAAGGGATCTTTTTAGAAAGCTTAGTGTCGCGCAGCGAGCTGTGGAGAGGGCTATGCTTGGTATTTCTCTACGAGATCGAATCAGAAATGAGGAGATCCGTAGAAGAACCAAAGTTGCTGACGTAGCCCGTAGGATTAGCAAGCTGAAGTGGCAGTGGGCAGGCCACATAGCGCGAAGATCGGACGGCCGATGGGGCAGAAAGATCCTCGAGTGGAGACCACGTACTGGCAAACGCAGTGTGGGACGGCCACCTACCAGATGGACCGACGACCTGGTAAAAATTACTGGGTCACGTTGGATGCAGGTGGCAACGGACCGGCCGCACTGGACATCAGTTCGAGAGGCCTATGTTCAGCAGTGGACAGTAGACAGGCTGAGATGATGATGATGATGAACGTAATTTATGGACGAGCTCACAGCCCACTTGGTTTTAAGTGGTTACTGGAGCCCATAGACATCTACAACGTAAATGCGCCACGCACCTTGAGATACAAGTTCTAAGGTCTCAGTATAGTTACAACGGCTGCCCCACCCTTCAAACCGTAACGCTTTACTGCTTCACAGCTGAAATAAGCAGGGAGATGGTGCCTACTCGTGCGAACTCACAAGAGGTCCTACCACCAGTGATTACGCAAATTATAATTTTGCGGGTTTGATCTTTATTATTACACGATATTCCTTCACTGTGGAAGTCAATCGTGAACATTTGTTATGTACGTATTTCATTAGAAAAATTGTTATCCGCCTGCGGGATTCGAACACCGGTGCATCGCTACATACGAATGCACCGGACATCTTATCCTTTAGGCCACGACAACTTCATAATCTTCTTCTTAAACTTCGTCTTAATCCGTTTTAAAGGCTTTTGTCTCAGATTAGTGAGAATCCATCAAAATTATTTTCTAATTAATTGTCGTTAATGAGTTTGAAGGTTTCACTTACAAGATTACATAATTAATTGAAAAATGATCTCTCATTACTCGTTTAGCTCATCCATAAATTATCATGTTAAAAAATATATTCCCAGCAAATTTATCAACTTTCAAAACTTTTTAATTGCTCATTCGTATAATTTCACTCTCATGCTAGCTTTATTCACAGTAAAAAAATTGCTTTTATCGACATAGCCAACAACCTATTAACATTTTTAATGATGCATAAGTCATTTACAGTTATGCCACTATTAAGCATAAATAATACATATTTTATTTAACAAAAAAAACTTTGATATTATTAAATTAAATTTTAATCAAGTATTAAGGTATTATTTCTGTTCTAGAAATTAGAAAAATCGTTTTGTTTTTATGAACATTTTCAAAGTTAAGAACCCTTAAGAATATGTCCATAAACAGATTTTTCAAGATTGGAATTATTTTCGGAGATATCGTTGATTTTGTGACGCAGCATCTAAGTGGAGCGAATATTTATTTTTTATTTTTTATTACTTAGGTGTGTGGACGCGCTCACAGCCCACAGACACCTTTTTTTCCTACCTATTCTGATAGCCTTGAGAGGCTATTTCAGCTTCGCCCTAACGTGTGTAGCTGAGCTCACGGAGCTCAAACCGGAGTGTTGCTAACACTGACCCTAGCAAGAGCAGTGCTTCGCAAAATCTACCACCGGATCGGAAACGGGACCCACTGAGAAGATCCGGCGAGAAACTCAGTGGGCTGTGTCTATGGGTTAATTCGCTCCTCAATCCCTTCATCGCAAGCGACGGGTTCGACGAGGATGGTGACCGTTGCTTGTGGTGTCTAAAAGCACCGTTAATGGATCGGGAGGATCCGTAATGACCTGCTTTGGGCGACGTCGATTGTTTACCATTCGGTCTACAGGACCGGCTATGTAGTTTCCAGCGGCCCCGACAAGAGGGTTCTCATGTCGTGCCGCATTCTCGAAGTGAATACAGCCCCCCTGGTGTCAAGTGGTTACTGGAGCCCATAGACATCTACAACGTAAATTCTGCCGCCCACCTTGAGATATAAGTTCTAAGGACTCAATATTATGTTCACACAATCTTACAATACGCTTATCAAATTAAAGATTGAAGAGAAGAGAAATTGAAGTTGATAATTAAATTCACTTCCATATATTTGTATACCTTTATACGAAAAATATAAAATAAGTATTAAATGCTATTTTCCGAGTTGTTCTACTGGAATTGTTTCTCAAACTTCATACGCGTTTTTCTCGAAACGGCTTTTTTAAGTGGTTGTCAAGTTTCTACCCAACCCATTCCTTTGAAGTTTGGTGCAAATCTTCTTTATATCTCTATCTTATCTGCCTTGGATTTTAGAAAATTCCAATTTGAGTACTTTAAAAAAATATTCTAAAATATAAAAAAAGGGATTAAAAAATATATTTTTTAAATGTCGACGCCATTTTGTGGTCTTTTTTTTGGCCATCGTCAATGCGATAACGACATCTTTATTGATTGTGAATTTCTCAAATTTCTTGGTTTCAAATCACTATAAGGGTTGGAACTCGGTCAACCACAGGGCACCGTATTTTATAGCCCTCACTTTAGCGGGCTGTAATTCAACGAATTTTTGTTGTCGAATGATCAACAGGCATCACACGAATATTTGTCTAATGTGGGAATCGAACCCGCGACCCTCGGCGCAACAATTTGGGTCGCAAAATGATAGAGGAGTACGGAAGGAGAAAACATGTTGCGCCGACCCCAAGTCAGGAGAAGGGCAGGAGAATGATAAGATTTTAAACCAGTTTAAAAAAAAAATGAAATATAGCGAGAAAATGTGAATTGGGACACAACAAGATTATAACTATAGTAAAGATGCCTTCTTAAAAGCTTAAATGGTAGGCGATTTCACTACCCTCGTGGTGCCGTACCGAGCTGCTAGTGGATCCGATAGTCATGAAATTATGAATATTGCTCTTTCAGGATAAAACTACTTCCTGACAGAAGTAGAGAAAAATGTGGTTATGACCCTTGTAGGCTTTCATTATGTCCTACGATCAATTGTCAATGCTGCGAAGCTATCGCCCGAAAAGAATCCTCAACATAATTTTTCACATATACCTATGTACATACAAGTCCTGAATTCAAGCAACATTTGGATAGTTTGTCTACCGAGCAATAATACTCGATGGGGGCTTTCCACTTCTTAGGCTCAATATCGATTAGGAAAACAATTGGGTACGATAAGCCGGATGTGGTGAATTCGTTTCCGGATAATTCGATTTTATTATTAAGCCCTGCGGCTGCAAGTCGCCCTGCGATCAGAGCCAAACATTTTTAATATTCCGGTTAGAATTGAGTCTGCTCGACCCGCTAATTGTATATATGCAGGTATGTGTCGCATCCGGGCACGCCAAACAAGGTAAAGGCGCGTCATCTAGTGGATGCGAGCCCCAATTATTCGTCAAACATCAGCTCACTTCGGGTGGTGTACTTCGACAGAATCGAGGCGTCATCACTCGGATTGTATCTAAGCATATTGCTCTTAAATATTAAGTGTATTATCTATGTCCGTTGAACTGTCATATCGTTTCGTGCTGCGCAATCTCTTTGTGCGACTACCCACCCTACGCCCACGATGTCGACCCTATTGTGACAAATGTATATAAAGATATTTTCTTTTTGAAATATTTTCGTAAAGAGCTGGATAAAAATATTATATTATAGAATCCTAACAATGACTTTATATCTATATATTAATACGTGAAGCAAAAACATTGTACTTCTTTTCAACAATGTCAGAAAATATTACTTATTTGGTAGAAACTTATTTTGTTTGTTTCCTTTTCAATTTTTTTTTAAATCATCTAAACGACTTGTGAGCA